CTATCTAAGGACAGATGTCCCCATGATTTTTGATTGTGACAACCAGCAGAGATTGTGGTTGATTGAAACAGAGGGCAGCTGAAGTCCCAGACACTCCTCTTAAAGGAACTGTGCAAGGACTCACAGACAGAATCACTGGCTCTGAGCTCCAGCACTGGGGCTGCAGCTGGAGAGGTGACAGGGCCAAAAGGGGGAAACTGAATAGTCTGGCTTCAGGGCAAGGGCTGGAGGGGAAGCTTTCTCCCAGGTGGAGGAGCTGGCCAAAGCCATTGCTTCTTTTTTGAGCCCTCTCCTTTCCCAGCGTGCAGACCCAGGCATCTGCGATGTCTGAGTCTCCATCAAGCTAACTAATGCCATTCATTCATGATGTCCTGGTGATTCTGAGACCCCACCCTGCCCAACTTTCGGGCAAACCCAAGCCACTTCCAGTGTTTTTTACATACAAACTGCCTGCCTTGGCTCATGCTGCAGACTTTCCTAGGGTCTCTCAAAAGTTTGTGCAACCCAAAAATGCAGAGTTCCAAACACTGGTTATAAGGATGTTCAGTGATCTCAGGGACAACTTCAACAAAGAGGTAGGAAACAAAACATCAAGATAGAAAACATAAAAAAGAACCATTCAGAAATAAAGAACACATTAATGGAAATGAAGAATACATTATGGGGATTCAACAGTAGATTAGATGAAGCAGAAGATCAAATCAGTGATTGAGAAGATAAGGTAGCAGAAAACACCTAATCATTATAGCAAAGAGAAAAAAGAATTCACGAAAATGAGGAATGTAGGGGCCTCTAGGACAACATCAAGTGTACCAACATTTGCATTATATGGGTACCAGAAAGAGAAGAGAAAGAGAAAGGGATTGAAAACCTATTTGAAGAAATGATAATGGAAAACTTCCCTAACCTGGTGAAGGAAATAGACATACATGCCTAGGAAGCACAGAGAGTCCCCAACAAGATGAACCCAAAGAGGCCCACACCAAGACACATCATAATTAAAATGCCAAAAGTTAAAGACAAAGATATTTTTTTTAATTAAAGCTTATTGGGGTGAAAATTGTTAGTGAAGTTACATAGGTTTCAGGTAAAGAGAGAATCTTAAGAGCAGCAAGAGAAAACCAGTTAGTTACCTACAAGGGAGCTCCCATAAGACTGCCAGAGCTGATTTCTCAACAGAAACTTTGCAGGCTGGAAGTGATTGGCAGGAAATATTCAAAGGGATGAAAAAGTAAGGATCTACAACCAAGATTACTCTACTCAGCAAAGCTATCATTTAGAATCAAAGGACATATAAAGGAGCTTCCCAGACAAGAAAAAGCTAAAGGTGTTCATAAGCAATAAACCAGTATTACAAGGAATCTTATAGAGACTTCTTTAAGACGAATATATATATATATATATATATATATATATATATATATATATATATGAATAATAAAACGTCAATAACAACATACTTACCAACAATTACTTTCAATGTAGATGGATTAAATGCTCCAATAAAAAGATAGGGGGGGCTGACCCAAAGACATTCAGAACCTATTTTCTTTCTTTCCTTCAAGTCAGTGTCTCGTCCGAGCGGAGCAGATGAGAAGCTGAGATGCCTGGGTTCAAGCTAAAGTTCTGACAGCATGTTGTATGCATGTGAGTAAGTGTGCATGGTTAACTCGGTCAAATGATTCACCTCTCTACACCTCAGCAATGCTGATAATGGAGATAGTAAATCCTGCTTGGCTTAACTCACAAGTATGTATAGATACCAAATGGAGAAATTAGTTTGAAAAACACTTAAAAACCCCAAAGTCTAAAATGCAATGTGGGGCTGGCTGAGTGGCTCAGTTGATTAAGAGTGTGAGCTCTGAGCAACAGCGTCACCGGTTCGATTCCCACATGGGCCAGTGAGCTGCGCCCGAGCTGAGTTGCCACTGAGCTGCCAACAAGCAGCAGGATGGCTCAGCTCATGACAGCACGTGCTCCTAAAAACAAGATGGTCTGTTTGAGATGGTGGGCTAGGCCCACCTACAACTAAAAGACTGAACTCGGCACTTTGAACTGAGCTGCCATCTGGGTGGCTCAGTGGATAGAGCATGTGCTGCTAAAAACAAAGCTGCTGACTTGTCTGTTCCCCTTCCCCCAATTCCCCAGCACTGTTCCCATCTCCCAATCCCCCAATAAAAATCTTAAAAACAAAAACAAAAAAGCTGCTGGTTCGACTCCCACATGGAATGGTGGCTACACTCACCCACAACTAATTAAACACATCACCTTGAGTTGGGCAGCATGGCTGGACTTGGAGCTAAGCTTGCTGCACCCTCCACAACTAAGATTGAAGGACAACAACTTGGCTGTTCCTCTCACCCAGATCCCCAAAACTGTTCCCCTCCCCAAGTTCCCCAATAAAATGTATAAATAAATAAATAAATAAATAAATAAATAAATAAATAAAAAGTTAGTGGGCCTGAATGGATAAGAAAACAAATCCCTTACATATGCTGCCTACAGGAAACTCACTTCAGATGGAAAGACACACACAGACTGAAAGTAAAGGGGTGGAAAAAGATATTTCATGAAAATGGAAAAACAAAAAACAAAAAAAAAAAACTGGAGAAGCAATACTTATACCAGACAAAATAGACTTTAAAACAAAGGCTATAACAAAAGACAAAGAAGGACCTAATAATCCCACTTCTGGGTACTTATCTGAAGAAACCCAAAATGCTACTTTGAGGGGATGTGCTCATGCATACGTTCATTGCAGCATTATTTACAATAGTCAAGATATGAAGGCGTCCTGGGTGTCCCTCTATGAATGAATGGATAAAGAAAAGGTAGTACACATATGCAATGGAATATTACTCAGCCGTAAAAAGAGTTAAATGTTGCCACCTGCAACAACATAGATGGACCTAGAGGGTATTGTTCTGAGTGTAGTAAGTCAGACAGCGGAAGACAAAGGTCATATGATTTCACTTATAAGTGTAACATAAAGAACAAAATAGGGACGGCCGAGTGGCGCGATGGTTAAGAACTGGCTTGGGACGCCAGAGGGCCCCGGTTGTTCGGATTCCACATATGAGGGCCAGTGACACTGCCCTCTACAGCTAAGATGCTGAACAACAGCTCAACCTGGAGCTGGGTTGCCATGAGTCACCGGCGACGGCGTAGGCTGCAGTCCCTGTGGCAGTGGGTTGCCATGGGCTACTGTGTGTAGCCGGCAGCCAGTGTGAGTGGCCAGCAGCCGCAGTGATCGGCCGTCCAGAAGCCGGCGACTGATCTGCCTCGCCCAGGAGGAGTGCAATGATGGTGCCAACTTGGGCAAGTGAAGCAACGCCCTCCACAACTAGACTGAAGAAAAAAACAACAGCAACTTGTCTGTTCCCCTTCCCCCAATTCTCCAGCGCTGTTCCCATCGCCCAATTCCCCAATAAAAATCTAAAAAAAAAAAAAGAAATAGAAGCTGGATATCTTCACTTGCCCTATCACATAGCAATTCTATGACTTCACACTAGTAAAAGTGTGTGTGTGTGTGTGTGTGTGAGAGAGAGAGAGAGAGAGAGAGAGAGAGAGAGAGAGAGAGAGAGAGGGTTTTAGTTCAAGGTGGAGATTGAATTATTTTGATTGAGAAAATCTCCCTCAATTCTTATAATTCAACACTGAATGGCTTTGGACATTAGCTTTTGTTATAGGTTTGATAATATGTTTTAGTAAATTCAACTTAAAATTACAAGGCAAACAGTGCTTATATACAAAACTTATACTGTGGTAAAGTCATTTCAATGGCAACAAACATCATTTGAATTAATATCAGTCTGCTTTACATACTTCCCATGCTGTCAAAAGTTAAAATCGGAGCAAGATCTCTATTTCCACACAAATTGGCAGTGGATATATATCCAAGCTCAGACAATAGTTCCAGCAGCTTTTTTTCAGACCTCTGTGCAAGTACAAAGGAAATTTCCATATTTCAAACCCACTTAATTGTGCTAAAAGGCAAGTACCAAGAGAAAATTCTAATATAATTCTATAAATGCCTTCTAAGAGATGAATATGTGCAATTAAATCGTATGCTTATGGATTGATATCAGTATTTGGAAGTACCTAGCTCATGGATTAATATTAATATTTGCCAATATCTGTGTGAACACTTGCAAGATAAACTAGGTAAATCCTCATTACAGATCAATAGGTGGACATATACAATCAATTTTGATGATAGAGAACACTAACTTTGTATTCCAGTATTGCAAACTGTTATTCTCCCCAAAGAATTCCATTTCTCAACTAATTGACATATATTATAAAAATTGTGTGCAATTATAATTTTAGTTTCAACAGTAAAATATTTGTGGAAATTTGTTTTTTCTCTTGTTGTATAAATATCTACAGAACGATCTGAAATTTACCTTTGAGTTCTCCCAAACCCAAAATATTTAATCTCTGCCCTTTACAGTAGTGTAGCCAACCTAGGATACCTCCATATTGGCCTAGTATAGTTTTTGGGCAATTACACAATTACAAGGGCAGGACTTGTGTGGGCCTAAAGGTAGCTCCGGACCCTAAGGACTCAAAGAACAGTTAAGCGATTGCGAGCCATCCTAGAACTTAAGGGCATTGGCCATTCATTGGACGCATAGCACGTCAATCCTCGCTTCTCAGCAAATGAGCTTGGAGCTTGTGAGGAGAGGCACCGCCCTTTTTGGCCCCGCCCCCTGTTACTGGTCTGACGGAATCTTTCCCGCCTTATCCGCCATTGTCTGAGGCCTTGGTGTTCGGCTCCTGATATCGGCTCCCTGCCTTTCCTGTTGTGCGGCCTCCTCAGGCACTACCAGAGACTGTTGTCCCCTCGACTGCCGGCTCCTGTGCCACCCCATCTACCTCACGTCAGGCCCCACTGCCCACCGCCTCCGCTCACCGACAGCCACCTCGATCGGTGGCCGCCATCTTGGCCGTCTTCACCACAGCCGGATAGCTGACGGATTGAGGTACTGCTTGGTGCCATGTCTGCCACAGGGGATGGAAACCCGGCTGCAGGGGATGGAAACCCGGGCCCAGGTAGACTGGAGAGCCCCGTGGGCGTGGCGGGAGCAAGGGTCATCGGCGAAGCAGGGCCTCACGGGGGCGATGGCGATGAGATAGGGGCGGCTGGAGGCGCAAGCGCCGCTGGGGGCCTAGGGCAGGAAGAGGGGCAGCTGGCGGCTGGTCAGGCCATGGCCGGAGCCATGGATAGTGGGAGCAGTGAGGAAGACTCTGACATTGAGCCTGCAGACGACGGAGAGGAGAACGTGCTGGGGCCCAACAACATGGTGATGGGCGCCCACCACATTCCCATGATGGGCTTCCGTTTCGTATTCCTGGACTTGATGGACTCGCTGCTGTACCGCGTCTACTTCAACCACCATGTCCTCGTGCGGCCCAATGGCACCCACGCGCAAGTGCCGGAAGGGCCTCAGATGGCACAAGGCATGGCCGAGTTGCCCACGCTCCCGATGCCGGAGGGCCCGGGAGAGGGTGCCCTGGCCCAGGAGCCCGAGGGCTCAGGAGAGGAGGCCACGGCCCAAGAGCCCGAGGACCAGCCTGAGGCCGAGGCCGAGGAGGAGCCCATGCAGGAAGCTGGAGCCTGGGAAGGTGAGCAGGCGCCGGGGTCTGGGAGGCCCCATTGCGGGTGGGCAGCATGGGTGCACTGGCCCGCCATGCTCACTCGGGTGGGTCCGGGCCCTCAACAAACCGAATGGGCCAAACAAGAAGCCCAATTCCATAATGACCTTTCCTGTCTTGAGAAAAAATATGCTGCCCTGTACCAAACTCTGATAAAATATCTGAGCTCATCAGTGCAGTTCATGGCCCACAGACAAATGTCCGAATGTTCGAGGGGGGAAAGGTGTGTTGGAGGGTGGGGGATGGGGAGGACATGGAAGGGGAGCCTGAAGGGAAAGAACAAGCAAATGGCATGCCTCATGTTTGGTTCATGACTGATAAAATGTCGAGATTCTTAGAAAGTTGATCCCCAAACATTATGAACAGGGATGGGAGCACTTGGTAAAAATTAAATATTCCGGATTGAGGAACTAGTGAGCTTCAGCATAGAATTTGTCACTTTGGCAAAAATATTTTCACAGGGAACTTCTGACCAAAACATACAGAATACTTCAGATCCTGATGATTCTGATCCCTTTTTCTCTGAAGGGCCAGAAATAATAAGCAGCACAGGGTGGCAGGTTTACTGGAGAAAGAGAAATAGTGTCACTGTGAAAAGGATAAAGCAGCAAAAATGTGATGGCCATGGAAGTGTTGTATTAACCAGTAGGAAGGTGCTTAGCTGTTCTTTTCCTAGTTATTTCTCTCCTCCTGCTTCTCCTGAGGGTGAAGTACTGGATGTCCCCATTTTTTTGAGTTGGGATTTTTTTTCTGTGAATGTCTGGTCCCAAAGTCTGTATTATTTTTCACTAAAGAAACAACTGAATACCAGTGTGAAAACTCTGAGGAAAAGGCCCAAGATACTGAAAGTATGGAAGAAGAAAAGGAGTTTAACAAAGAACAAGAAGGACCCGAAATGGACGTGGACCCAGCAGAGAGTGGGCCTGGAAAACCCAGGTATCTGTGTATAGCTTTTAATATCACCTTAACCATTCCTGGCATTTACCTGTTACTGACAGCTTTAGGGTTTTTTTTAATTCTTCGAGTAAATTAAGAAAAATTTGCTTAAAATTAGTTAAATATTCAATTTTACCTACTTAGAATGTTAATAGAATACTCATAAACCTAGCAATATAAAATGCATTATGTACTGAAATATACTTCATGGCTACTCATTTGTTCTTATGAGGTCTTCTAACAAATAGAATGTAAGACTACTAACAAATGGTAAATGTATCAATACCCAAGGCCAATATGCCTTTAGAAAACAGTTACTAGAAGCAGGAGCTAAAGCACTGGTCTGTGCATTAGTTGCGCTTTTATTACTTGGCCACAGAATTGCGGTCTCCTGTACTAACTAGGCGACAAAGCCTTTTAGAATGTGACTACTTAGAAATAGTAAAAAGTTAAGAATTTCAAGTATGACCACATTTAATGATTAATACCTAATAATTCACTTGGTTGTAGATTTTGTATTTTATGAAAAGAAACTTAGTCAGGGCAGCCAGTTAGCTCAGGTAGTTGAAGCACAGTGCTCATAACACCAGAGTTGCCGGTTCAATCCCCACATGGGCCACTGAGATGCGCCCTCCACAACTAGATTGAAACAACTACTTGACTTGGAGCTGATGGGTACTGTAAAAACACACTGTTCCCCCCTCCCCCCCCAAAAAAAGAAAGAAACTTAGTTATAGTGTGATTATTGTTTATCACTGAATTGGTAATTAAGTCTCAAGGTATATGTTATTTTTGAGTATATTTAAATGATTAACGTTTTTTTTGTACTTTCACAGCAGTATATTTCATAATAACAGCCGTTTTCTCATATGGGAGATAGGGAAACTGAGGGTCTGGTAGGGTAAAGGAGTATCATTTATGGAATGAGCACAGGCTTTTAAGGTGCAGAGATTTATTTAAATCTCAGAATGTCCTCTCAGGGGGAAAAAAGCATTTATGATATTAGGCAAGAGGAAGATAAGGTTGGTATGATCACATGATTAAAGCCATTGGTTATAGGAGCACCCTATATCCAAGGGTGCAGGTTACGATTACCAGACATTTGGTCCTGTCCAAAATTTCCATGGAGACATTTGGTCCATGCCAAAAGGTCCTTTATATTTAAATACTGCTCTTCTGCAAGATTCAAGCCCTGACCCGTCTACCTAACCCCGTGTGCCATTACCAGCTAGGCTACTGAGACAGGAAGCGTTAGTATTGGTAATACAGCCACAATACAATTATTGGACCAATAAAACATGATGGCATTTTTAGGTATTAATCCTCAAAACCAAAAGTGTAAATAAACTATGGGCAATTTGAACCCAGGATATTTTCTAAGCATGAACATTTTCGACAGGACCAAATATCAAGGACCTTTTAGCCAAGGCCCTTGGATGGACCAAATGTCTCTGGATGTTTTGGACGAGACCAAATATCCTGCAAGGCAGATTACAAGAGGGAAATGTGTTCTCTACTTGATGGGATGTAGCACACAAATGCAGCAGATACACATAGAGCTGACGATTTACTCAGATTTAGAAAGTCACTGGTGCTGGTTAAAGTTGTGTAGTGGTTAATTTTCTCTCATTTCATCCTGCAGCTGGAAGGAATAGAAAGAAAATGGAGAAAGAAGAAAGAATCTGTTGTTCACTCTTTTTAGGTTTTGCTTTTTTCAGAAGCCCATGAGAATTTTATTAAATACTTGTATCATTCTGAAGTTCATCACCCAAAAAATACTATTCAATGATATCTGACTTTTACCTTTTACAGATATATTTGACAGCATGTGTTGTAGTTAAAAATAAGTTTGTTTTAAATTAATAAACTGAAATGCAAGCAGATTTTATTTACATAAATAATTCCGACTCAAATGTCTCTCATACCTCTTTGTTTTTGCCTACTTTACCTTCACTGAAAGGTATCACTTTCCACCATTTTGTAAGCCTGTTTTAAAGTATTATATTGCAGGCAAAATAAATTAAAATGTCAAGTTTTGAACAATTTTAGTAAAGAGAGAGTTGGAGATCAAGCCTTTGGAGCTGCTTGCTCCACTATGTTAGTCACTAGCCGTTTGTGGCTACTGAGCACTTGAAATCTGTCTAGTCTGACTTGAGATGTGCTGTAAGTATAAAAAATGTTACATATCTTACTAATAAACTTTATACTGATTACTTGTTGACTTGATAATATATTGAACTAAAATATACTATTAAAATTAATTTGTTTCTTTTTTTTTAATGTGGCTACCAGAAAACTTAAAATTACCCATGCGACTTGCATTATATATCTACTAGACAGCGCAGCTCTAGAGCATGGTTTTGAAGGAAACCTCATGGATGGCCCAGCTTGCCTGGAGGCCAGAAGGTGCTTCTGAGTCTGGGCCCAGACACTGATTTGGAGTAGTGGTTCTTAAAGTTTGATCCCCAAAACAGCATCATAAGCATCACCCAGGAATTCTTAGGCCCCACTCAAGACCTACTCACTGACATTCTGAGGGTAGGCCCAACATTCTTTTTTAACAAGCTTTCCAGGTGATTCTGATGCAGCTAAGGTTTGAGAAGCACCATGTTAAAGCCACAGGGGAAGAAGCTGAGGCTCACCTATGGTAGGATCAGCCTAAATTCATTGGCTTGGGACTGTTGCAAGTAAACAGAACAGGATGGCAAGGGCTGGACTGGGGAGGAGACCTAGAACTCACAGGGGCTGAGACACAGAGGGATTAAGATTGGATGATGGCAGCAGAAAAATGAATAAGGGAAAAAGGCTGGTTCCAGAAGGATACAAACATAATGCCATGTATATGAAGTCTAAAAAGCATGGAAAATGGTCACCACATATTGATTGTGGATACAAATATCTTATGCTTATGGGAGATGCATACAAATGTAGCATGTGGGAAAGATAAACATCTCATTTAGGATGATGGTTACCTCTTGGGGAAAGGGAGGGGGATTCTATTGGGGAGGACTCCACAGTGGGCTTCAGCTGTATTTGCAATGTTACGTTTCTTAAACTGGGTTGTGAGTACATTGACATTGATAGTATTATTCTCTATACCTTTGTATAGGTCTGAAATATTTCCTAATAAAAAATCAGAAAATTTAAAAAAGGAAAGGAAGCAAATGAGCTTAATCTCTAGACTGTTTAAGGAGGGGAAAGGGTGAAGTCGTATTTGACCAGATGATCAGTGAAGGGGCAGGGCCTGGGGGCTTGAGACTATCAGCTTTGTTTCTGCATTTAGTTAAGATTTTTTTAAAAAAAGATTTTATTGGGGGAGGGGAACAGCGTTGGGGAATCGAGGAAGGGGAACAGGCAAGTTACTGTCCTTTTGTTCGTCAGTCTAGTTGTGGAAGACGTTGCTTCACTGGCCCATGTTGGTATTATCATTATGCTCTTCCTGAGTGAGGCAGTTGCTCGCCAGCCATTGGACGGCCACTCACAGCAGCTCACGGCCACTCACAAAAGCACACACCAGCTGCGGTCGCCGGTGACTGACCACAGCCCAGCTCCAGGTCGAGCTGTGGTTCACCATCTTAGCTGTAGAGGGTTGTGTCACTGGCCCTCATGTGGGATCCGAACTAGGGCCCTCTGGCGTCCCAAGCCAGCTCTTAACCAACACGCCACTTGGCCGGCCCCTAGTTAAGATTTTTTAAGTGCTCTCTTGGTTGCAGTAATACCTTCTGTGTTCTGTGTAGCACATCTCATATCCTAACATATTAGCATTCTTGAGGTGAAATTCACTTAAAATTAACCATTTAAAAGTCAATGACATTCATCATTTTGTGCAACCACTACTTCTTTAGTTCCAAAATATTTTCATCACCCCAAAACCCTGTACCGATTAAGCAGTCACACCCCATCCCCCCATCCCGTGGCAATCACCTATTTGCTTTCCACCTCTGTGAATTTATTCTGGGCATTTCATATAAATGAAATCATACAATATATGAACTTTTGTGTCTGGCTTTTTTCACTTAGCAGTTTTCGAGATTCATCCATGTTGTAGCATGCTATCAGTACTTCATTCCTTTTTCTGGCTGAATAATATCCTGTATGCATATACCGCAATTTGTTTATTCTTCCACTGATGGACATTTACGTTGTTTCTACCTTTTATCTATTGTGAATAGTGATTCTATGAACATTCATGTCCAAGTAGTTATTTGTGCATTATACACACACACACACACCCCAACCCCTGACCACCTGAATGGTTGGGACAATACTTTTGCAAAGCCCTAGGCACTGAGTGTTCCACTAATTCCTGTTAAAATGAAGCAAACTTACCACTTCCACAATCTTTTATGTCACCAGTGTTGACATTATAAAATGTACTATGTATTCCTTATGGCTAGAACCACATGGTGAGAAAGAGGCACAAACCTCTTGTAATCATTACCTAAAATAAAAGGGCAAGCCAATAGACAGTTTTCCATATAGTGTGATTGGAACACCTTCAAACTGGTTCTGATTTGTTGGTGTTTATGTTGTATAAGTTGTATAGTAATAATACTGTTTTGAGACCCGGGCAAGAGGGATCTTTGTCCTGAGCTCCATGCTTTAAAGGCTCCACTTTGGTCCTCTTTCAACCACACCCCTCCCTACAGGAACAAGGGGTGTGCCCCTGCTACCCCATGCTCCAGGTACCTGGCACCTCTGAACAGTCCCAAGCCTGCTTCCATGGCCTATGTTCTCATCTTGGAGCTGCCCTTGGGAGGGCTGACTGCACTACTGGCATATGTGTTCCCAGGCCTAAGAGTGGTGGTGGTGTATGCCCAGAGCAGATGGTGGGGTCTAGTCTAGGTGCAGGGGCAGGGGCAATGGGGCAGCTCCTCCCATATAATTGAAGCAGGACTTAAAGGAGTTTGAAATTTTTAAATCCCAACCTGGACTTTTAGGTGGTTATGAAGGTACATTTGTCATGGAAAGAGATACAACTTATTTTATTTAATGGTTGATTAGTTGATTTAAACATTTCAAATATTTTTATACATATGATATGTGGACCCCTAATTGAATTATTTTTTGAACTCTACAAATATTACACGTTTCAGGAGTGCCATGTTAAATATCTGATCTATCACCCCTTCCCCTTGTTCATTCCACATTACACTGTTATCTGAGAAGAGTGAGCCCTTTCCTGTTGATAATGGCTTGTTCCAATAGCCCATAGACCTAGTCCCTGGTCCAGGCTGGAATACAACCACTATCTTGCCCCCTCTACTCGCCCCCATCAATGTTCTCTCTCCCACCAGTCTCTTTGCTCCCCAGGTGTTTCCACTGATGAAAACCTCTTCTTCAATACCACTCCCCTGTATACAAATACCCACCAGAGGCCATCAGCCTGGTTAAGCACACCTGTATAGAAGCACTTTCTGCCTCACCCACCCTCTTAAGATCATTTTGCTTCTCTGACAACTCTCAGGTGTAAACTGTCAATATCCTATTTGATTTCCCTCCCTTGTGACAGACAGAGACATACTACAGAACAGGCTTTATTGAATTTATTTGCTTTACATATAGTAAAAATCAAGAATTCTAAAAGAAGCTGAAAATGTCAGAATGTACCTCTAGGCATTAAAAAGAAACTTAACCTCTACTTAAAACAGTGTTTCATTATTAACTGTGAGAAATTAATTGTTAATGGAGAGTTCTTAGAGTAGGAATAACCTAATAGTGGTCCACCCTGAGGAAAGGGGGAAAGGGGAAAACAATCTATATGATTACCTGGCTAAAGGACATCTACCTTAATGAACTATTCACTATGGGAATACAAAGGAAATCAAACACAATCAATCAAAAACCTAGCATTATTAAAAAGGCAAAGATACAGTATCAGGAAAAATAGATGTTTTATAGAGAAAATGCAAAATCCAGCATATGATTGTACAGTGTCATATACCATCAGCAAAACCAAGCATCAAGTGTTTAAATTAGCTCTGGCACCTCACTGCCTCTCTGAATTGTTTTTTATTTTTTTGTTTTTGTTTTGTTTTGTTTTTTTGCATGAGGCAACACCCTACTCAGACCTTAAAGGCACAGTTATATCTAGGCCTGCATTTCTGTTTAAGCAAAGTAGCCCTGAGGTGACAGAGGCAGACACAGTGAAAATTATACTGAGAAGTCACTTCCGGGTCTCCTAAAAAAAATGAGCTAGATACTGTCCAGGCATCCAAAGGGAACTTAGTCCCTTAGTGTTTGGGGGATGGAATAGAGGGGAAGGACCTGGGGTGAGTCGTTTACTTGTGAGGTGGAGACCATCGAACTTAGTGACTTTTGAAGTGTATGCCTCTAGTAGTGAGAGCAAGGAGAGGCTGATTTAATTACTTAAGGCTTCTGGCTAGCAGAAAGTTAATTGTTCCATGGCAGTTTTGCTTTGGGTTAAAATCTTGTAAAACAGCTTGCTGAGAGAAAGGGACAAGAAACTGGGCTAAAGGGAGGTCTCCACCTTAAGGCTGGAGCCAGGGGGTAAGAGCTCTCCAGTGGCCCCAGACTTCCTTCATGGAAGGTTTCTTGACTGAAACTGTAGCTTTTGGCAACTGTAGAATTTTAAATTTCAACAGGGTCTTAACTGCTTATAAAACAGAATATGTATGATACCTTTCAGAAGATACACTTCTGAGCAACTGGAGAGGGTCACAGTGGCATTGGGGCAAGAGGTCAAACACTGATGAACTAACCATCCAGAGGAGTTCTGCCTCATAAAAAGGTGCTCACTGCTGCCAGACCTGTGACAGGTTGAGATGGGGCATGTGAAAAGAGAGAGCTTAGTAGAAATTGTAGGCATTAAGGGTCCCCAGGTGTAGAGAAGAAGGTGTTTCAAAGGGCACTGGCCGATTGGGGGACTGGCTGTGCAAAATTTTTCTTGGAGACCCAGAATTTTCACTTCCACCACCTCTTCTAGGGCCCTTTGCAAAGCTTGGAGCAGCAACCAAAAAACTAAAACATTTAACTAGGCTGATAAAACCTAAAAGCCAGTCCTTGGGTCAAATCAGCTGGACATTTCCACTAGAATTAATGTATTTGATCAAGGAAAATGACGCTTATCTTAGGTGCTCCAACAAAATGTTTTTGCTTTCTCCCTTCTAAAGCACAAAGTTCAAGATTTCTTAATTGTACAGCAGTGCAAACATTTACAGTTTTTATAGCAGAAATGCTGGCTTTTCAGATGCTCATAGTGACTACTGAACATTAGGCTTTCATGGCATTTGTTTCATTCAAATATTTATTAGCTTTAATTCCCATTTGAAGGCTCTTTTGCTTAATAAAAATGGTTACAGTAAATAAATCAATAAATGGCATTAATACAGCTCTTGGAAATTATCATTTGAAATGCTGATGCTCCACCCAGGAGCTATTTATTGCATGATTTCTGCTATATGGCTCCATGCTTTGGCTTTCTTCTTGGCCAGGGAGAACCAGACTGGCTCAGCCGGCTCTTGGAGCACGGCTGGGAGAGCTGAAGATCGTCTGGTTTCTCTTCTCATGGCAGGCACCTGAGATATCTTCTGATCTTCAAATCCTACCAGAACCACAGCAAATAACACACAAGCAGTAAGAAGCCCCAGAGGTACTGAGCTAGTTTATGGGATGTAATAAAATGCTTTCTACTTTCATGTTTACTCTGGTTTCTGAAAATCAGTGCATGGGCAATGAATGACATGGGTGGTATGGCAAAGGAGTAAAATCAATATGACTATGGCCACAGGGACCCAGACATGGGAAGGCCTACGAGAAAATGCCTACAACTATAACATAATATTTGGGTGGATATTATTGGATTGTCTTACACTTTTTTTAGACCACAGAGGAAACATGTATGCTATCTGTTCAGTTTTTAAAATTTCAAATAACACAATATTTGTTTTGTTTTGCTAATCCATGATGTTGTGTGACATGAATGAGGACAAAATAATAGCTCCACCCAGTAAAAGTCAATGTAAATAACACCAACTACTCTGACAGAGCAGACTATCTCACTATTCCCTAATTCTACTCCTTCCCTCATCCTGCTTTATGGCTGATTGACTTAGCGGCTTAGCCTCACCCATTGATTCTCAGCCCTGACTACATTACAATCATCTAGAGCTCTTTTTAAAAACACCAATGCCCATGCCATTTCCTGAACTGACTGAATTAGGATCTGTAGCAACAGAACCAGGGCCATCTGTAATTTTTAAAAAGCTCGCCAGGTGATTCTAATACACAGTGAGTTGAGAATCACTTGACAGGAGTATAGTGTCTATGAGGCTATTAATAGTTATAAGCAGGTCAGGTGCTGCGATTTCATGGCCAGACAATGGGTTCCTAAATTGCTAGTCTAATTTCTTCACGAGGGGCACTAAGGGAAAGGACAAAGATGATTCAGTATAAATCCATCCTCCCCACCCCCTGCTCCTGCTGAAAAAAAGTCCCTCTGGCATATAACTCTGCTGAAGATACCACATTCTCTTCTACCCCAGCACGGTGTTTTTTCAACTTTCAACATTTCCGCACCCCTCATACCCCTGCTCAGAATATGGAGGGGCTGAAACAAGCCTTTAAAATAGTTAAAAAATTCAATACCATTGGGCCTTTATAGTGGATTCTTTTTAACAGTTTCATTGAGAAAATAGAAGGTGAGAAAATACAGCTTTGCTATGAACTGGAAAGTAGCTTGGTTCTTTCCTCTTGAATACCAGCCACAGGAATGTTTTAGTGAGTGATCACAACTTTGTGCCTACACAACTTCCTCGATGTGGTAAAACACTGGATCCCACTCTGATAGTTACACACTGGACTTATAGTAGTCATAATGATAGGATCTTCCTAAAACAAGCTAATATCTGTATCTAATGGAAGAGCTATGAGAGAATCATGAAGCCGATTTGAGTGGGGGGGGGGAGACATATTGCCTGAGCATGAAATTGCAGAAGTTTCACAGCATTCTGCCAGGACTGTTTGGGGAGGAATTTGGGGGGGGGAGGAAATGCTTTTACCTGCTTTGGTAGACTTAGGCAGTTCCATCTGTGCCATCTTCTCCTGTCTATTGACATTGGAAGTGAAAATATTTCTTAGTTGGTTTTCAGCTCCCTTTAATACAAAAATGAAAATAGGGATCTTGTAAGTCTTAACATGAAAACAGCAAATTACTTATTCAGAAGATCACAAGGTGTAAGCCCTGTCCTGGGACTTATGAGTTCATCATTAATCAAAAAGAAAGAGATAGATAGAGAGAAAGATAAGGAAAGAAATGGCACTGAGAGCACATTGGTTCAGTATTTAGGTTCACAAAACCTAAGCTGGTTCAAGTTTACCACCTTTCAGATCTAGAAGAAAAGGTTGTCTAATCATACAAATAATGTAAACAGCTTAACGTGAGACTTATTTAACTTGAGTACAACCTTTTCCCTACCTAGCACTTAACAGCAAGCTAACAGAATGTGGCAGTTACAAGCAAACCTTGTCAATTAATTGAAATGAGTCCCATAATATTTCTACCTAGCAAAACTTGTTGACATCTGACTTGCACTCCTTGCATTAGAAAACAATGTAACTATAGGTCGTTTCAAAGTTGTAGTTTAAGCTTTTCAAATTACTCTCTCCACAACTGTTTTAAATTAAAGAGTTTATATACCCTGGTGTATTTCCCCTTGACAAAAGCTTTAACCAAGGTGAACTTTGCTCCTGTATGCTCCTGCTCCCATACAACTACTAATGATGAAAATAAAAAGGTCTTTAAAGCAAAGAGTTAAACAGATCTTCATATGCTCCTTCAACAAATTTGGTAAGCACTTAAAAGTATAGGAACTTAGACATATCTCTTGATATGTAAATTTGATGTTTAGTCAGTTTTCTGCAGTTTTGACAAGAGGGCTTCTCATTCCAACACTTCCAAAGACATTGCAAATGGGACATTGGAAGCAAGACATCATCCCATCATCCCTGATTCACATGTGGTACTATTAGCCTAGTTCATCACATAACTTTTCTTTTAACCTATAGGGAGGTGCCACACCAAACCAAATCAATATGTAGAAACCCAAACATCAAACAATTACTTTTATTTACATAAAGGTAAATCGTTATGTACTGCTAGGAAAAGTTGCCCACAAATGAAACATTAAATGAAAAATAGTATATATAATTTGGCTCCATTTATATTTTCTTAAATATATATACATACTTTTGGGCATAAAATATTTATAAGAATAATTACTCAACTCTTACCCCAGTGGTTGGTTACTTTTGGGGTTTTTTTGTTTATTTTGTTTTATTTTTTTATGACTTACTCCTTATTTCTCAACCAATTTCATGGAATTTTGCTCTAGAATGTTTAGGATAGGATTTGATTTACAGAATCTTCTCATATTCATTACTTTTCAAAAATATTTTAAGACCACAAAGTGGAGAAACTTTGAGTACAAAGCAAGCCTTTTCCCCTGAAGATTCCCCCTGTCTTGATTAATGCAACCAAAGAGGTGGGGAGATGCATTCCTGGCAAAGTTCCTAATGCAAGCTCAATCAATTGGCTCCAGCAACCTTTTGAAGTGTTTTGTGGGCTGTCCCAGGTCCTACCCCATATTTAGGCTTCATAGTCTCAGCATTAGCTCCAGCTCTGTTCTTGGTTTCCAGTTCTTTCATATAAATGTGGCCTGGAAAATTTCTCTGCCTCTGCTTTACCATGGTTATCCAAGCTGGCTCTGAGGTGGTATAATCTGATTGTTGACCAGGAGTCTTTCCTGAGAAAGGAATGAAAGGAGTTAGAACGGAAGCAAGGCAGGCAGGGTCTTGAGCCTGTTTGGGGTCTACCCACAATAAGTCCCCAGATGGATCCTTGTTAATTGCCAAATGAAAATAAACAGATATCATATAGAGAAGGGCCCCCTTCTTTTGTGCCCTCCCCACAACTTGTCAAGGCAAGAGTTGCTTGGATAGATAAGAAGCTGTACTCAGAATTTGAATACTGTCCTCTTACTGGTCCCTTTTCTGCCCTTGTCCATCCCTCTTATCTCCAAATCATGGTAGGACAATGGTTGCCAGGTGGGCTAAGAAGATTCCCAGGAGGCCAGAGGCTCAGGCTATTGATGTCATTCCTCTAACGCAAATGAAAATCTTATAGTATTTGTTACTTCATAGTTCCTCATGCAAGCATGTGGTTATGTGGGGTGGGTATAGGCATATACAAAACTATGTGATAGTGAGTCTGAAGGTAGAAAGGCTTTGAAAGAGATTAGTGCTCAATAGATCACCTAGCTCTAGACCAAGGAGCTAAGACAGCAGACTAGGCAGGCGCAGTACCAACTGCCTCCCAGGATCACACCAAAATTACAAATAAATTATACAACAATCAACCTCGGGATTCATCTGAACTCTAGCTGAACAGAACCACTAAAACTAGGGATTTAAAGAACAGGCCACGTCAAGACTGCAAAGGGCCCTCTGGACACTAATCACTGGACTTGAGGCCACATGATGGCAGGGTTTGCCTATGGAACAGGGAAATGTCTCTCAATCACTGTCCAAAGATTAACTGTGGGGATCACTATCTTTTCTTTGCCATGATTCAGTTTTTGATGTCTATATGGTCATCCTTGGAATTTCTCTCATAACCAAAGTGATTCCTGATATACATATTGACACAATTACTTAATATGAATAATGTCCAGTGTGGTGAGGACCTGGAGGAATGCCAACTCTCCAAAACTGATGGTTACCTGTACCACGTGGGCTGTGTTCTTTGGAATAATAGGGAGGACAAATCTATGCAGATGCTGAAGTGAAAGACAGGAAGAATTTGATGATGGTATTGAAAAATATGGTGCTGAGAAACCTCCTGGATGTCATAGGATGGCTTATGACTTATTCTGTGGTTTGCAAAAGAAGGATCCAAAGCTGACGAAGAAGGACTGCTGTCCTGAGGAGAATCTGTGCGACCATCTGCAAAGCCCTTGAGGACACAGTGACCACCAACCAACTCTCTTCTTCCAGGGGCACTTCTCCCAGGACTCTCCTGCTGGGACGCTTATCTGACCACTGAGCACATTGTAGGGACACGTTAGAGACTCCCCCACATAAGCTCCCAAAACCAAAATTATAAGGTTTGCTGCCTTGAGCCAAAGTCCGGGGGTCAACTAAGGGTTAACTAAGAAAGGCTGGATAGCTGCTACACTGAAATCAGTGTGTGGTCAGCCAAAGTCCTTGAAACTGTTTTGCTCCTCTTGAGCTAAAAAACAACTCTAAGACTAAACTTTTCTCCCTTAGCCTTAGGGGCGTGCTTGTTATTTTCTACCACCTGATCCTCTTTTATCTCTAATAAAAGACTAAAATCAGTGAGGATGCCGGGTCAGGCTGCGCTGTCTGCCTCCTCCCCGTTCTCTGCATTGCATTTCTGTCTCATCCTTGGAGTCTCCGATCACAAGCGCGACAGCACATTTACTAAATGGAGAATAATTATTTTGAGTCTCACTTGTATAGTTTTTCCCCCCTTTCGTTTTTTTTAAAGATTTTTCTTGGGGAATTGGGGGATGGGAACAGCGCTGGGGAATTGGGGGAAGGGGAACAGAGAAGTTGCTGTCTTTTTGTTCTTCAGTCTAGTTGTGGAGGANATATAAGCTAGTCAAATAAACTCTCTGGATATCTGGGCAGTATTTCTCAAAGTATGGTCTGGGAACCCCCAGCATCAGAATCACCTGCAGTAAAAGTTGAAAATCATATTTAAGGAGTTACCAAGACCTGATGCATAAGAATGTCAGGGGAGGAGCCTTAGCATAGACTTCACAAGTTCTCCCAATGAGCATTCTGGGGGGCCAGGGTTGTAAAGCGCTGCCTAGTCCTCTGGCATGAAAAGAAAGCCTCCTATTTTCAAACAGAAGCACAGCAAGTTCCTAAAGAATCCCACAAGTTGCCTTAGAACAGGAGCCCGCAATATCTGGATTCCCTCTGGGAAGTGGGGCTGCTTTGAAGGCCCTACCTTTTCCTTCAGCCATAGTGGTTAGGAGAAACCTAGGAAAGTTACGACAGGAGCCAACCTCAGGTTTTTATGAGCTACCCAGGAAAAGCAAACCGAATCCCTTTCTGGCAGCTTTCTGAAAGAAAAGCAAGGGAAGGAAATGGGACTCCTTTCTTTATTTCGCCTTCCCCACCCTTCCTGCAACCCCACTCCTCCCTCCATGCACTCTGAGAGCCAACACCCCCCCCCAAAGTCAGATGGTTTCATTCTTCTGTGTTTTAGAGGGAGGTTAGCACCCACAGCTTCTGATTAACAGCTGGAGTTAAATGAGCACCTTTTGTCTCAACATCTGGGAGATGTGCCATGCCTGGTGCTTACTAACCTATAATCTTTCTGAGGAAGGAATTTGGGTCAGGCCTTGACCAGGGGAAGGGATCTTCAGCATTGGTTGATAGGGGTGCTGGACACTCTTTTCTGTTAGTAGGGTAAGGTCTGCTCTTTGAAAATGGAAATACATTAAAAATTTTCCCCCTTCTGTCAAGTTTCTAGACCCAATGAAAAATAGTTCAGTCAACAATACACCCTTTTGGTCATCCTTGTAATGCTTTCTTTGTCTGTTATATGATGCTAGGGTTTTCAACCCTTTTCCATTAACTGTTGATAAAAATAGTTGAGCAGGGATAGAGTAGTTTGGCTACTTCTTGGAACAAGGGAGAACCCTAGTTGTTAGATCTTAAATAAGGGCATTACCTGGTGGCTATTTAGACCCAGATTTCATCAGCATTTGACCTGAAGAGCCGTCACCCTGGGGTAAAACTCACTCTGAAGCTGCCTGGGAGGTTTGACATGGGATGCTGAGGAGCTGGGTTCCATGTGGCCCACTCAGCCAAATGCTCAAAAGGCAAGTGGTCCTTGGAACATCTCTAGATGAATCAGCAGCTCTTGGTGGGGGAAAATGGTTCTCGGTGGAAGGACTCTTTATCAAAAAGTATTGGCACAGGGTGAGACCTGATGTTGGCTGTTAGGATTTTAATTTCCCAAGTGTGTCAAAGTGGCTTCTGTGACCATTCCTGAGAATTTCTGTGCAGGTGCTTCTTCAATGAGAACCTTTGTTTCATAAACACTGTTGTGGTCACCATTTTGCCAACCTGAAAGTTCTAGGAGGTGGAATTTCACATGTTCCCTGCAGCTCCCCTCCTATCACAATCTCTTCAATTTCTTAACTAGTATAGAGAATAAGAATATTAACTTTGAAATTGAATAGGCCTGAATTTGAGGTCCTAGCCATGCCATATATTAGCTGTTTGACTTGGAACAAGTTACCTAACCTCTTTAAGCCTCAATTTCTATACCTCTAAAATAGGGATAATAATAATATGCACGTTAGTGTGTTGTAAACATTAAATGAAATGATACGTGGGAAGTGCCTTCCACATAAGAAAGTCTCAGTAAGTTAAGTGTTAGCTGCTGTCGCTATTGCTGGGTATTGGTTGCACAAATTTAGAGAACTGCTAGAGTCCATATTAGTGAAAAGAAAGGTGGTACAGATTTGCACAGGAATCCTGGGTTATAGTCCCAGCTTTATCTTTGATTGGCTGTGTGGCAGTGGCCAAGTCATTTCACTTCTTTGAACCTCAGTTGCTTTTTAGTGTAAAATAGGAATAACAGTATCTTTCCTACCTACCTTACAGAGTTACTGAGAATCAAATGTACCTATATATGCAAAATTACTTTGTAAGCTACATACTTTTATGCAACAATGGGGAGGGGGGCATTATGCTCTCCTTTGATGTATCAGAGGATTTTTAAAAAATAATGCTCTNGATGGTGCCAACTTGGGCCAGTGAAGCAACGTCCTCCACAAATAGACTGGGGAACAAAAGGACAGCAACTTATCTGTTCCCTTTCCCCCAATTTCCCAGTGCTGTTCCCATTCCCCAATTCCCCAATAAAAATATTTTTTAAAAAAGTTGATGATTTATAAAAAATCAACTAGCTCTGGATTCTTAGACGTATCAGGTAAGCGAAGAAGCTATGGAAGTACAAACATTTACAGTAAATTAAGATTTCAAGCTGAGAGAGTCTGAACATAGTACTCTATTAATGAGTTGGCTTTAAAAATCCACACGGTGTTGGGGGAAGCACAATACTGTAAGAGTATTTTGAGAAAAGCATAAAATGCCATCTAAATGTAAAACGTACAGCGGGTGGGGAGAGGGAATGGGGAGATGGCCATGTGTCCATTACAGAATGTGGATGGATGTCCAGAGGGGACCCCCTTGGGAAACAGAGGTCTCTAACCCTCTTCAAAATCATTAATCTAGAGTGGGGCACTATCCCATCCCTAAATCCACAAGCCAGCCCTATCAGAGCAACAGCTCAGCAGGCAAGGCTAGATCAGACTTCTTCCTATTCAACACTTTGATTTTCAGTTCTTCCCTCCACTTGGTACCTACTTGCCATCTGGAAAGTTAAAGTCTCACCTGGGATCTTATAAGCAGGTTGATTCTTGGCCATGCTGTCAGATTTGGGTCTGCTCTGTTGCTTCTCTGCAAAATCAGATCGTGCGGTGAGGTTCTCTGTGGTGCCCAGGATTCCCTGGGAAGCACTTCTGATTTGTGGTTCTCTACCTATGGAAGGTGAAATTGGGTGCAAGGATAGTGAAGGAAGCTTGGTAGAATGGTCTTGTCTCTCAATCTTGCACTTCTGTGAAGATGGGATCCTTCTCAGTTGGACTCCAAAAAGGGTTGCAACATCAGCCTTACTGGAGAGTAAATTTGAGTAGCTGTTATTTCGATTGCTACTTTCAAGAACTTCCTCCTTGGAGTAAGAGTCTCCAGAAGTGGATATTGGCGAGGCAGGAGGGATGGTGAGCTTTCTAGCAGGAGTCAGGATATTCTTAATGAGGTCTTCAGAGCCTTGGCTGTGTTTTCTGGTTTTGTTTGGAGAACCTGGACCTCTTAGTAGGGACCAGCTGTTAGGATTGCGCTCAAAAATTGTTCCGTCGGCAGCAGCAGCACTCATGGAACTTGAAGAAACTTGTTGCTGATACTCAGGGTCTGCAAAGGCCTGAAAAGGGTGTCTGGGAGGCAGGCGACCCTCAGCACCGATCCACTCTATAGGTACATTCACTGATCCTGTTGAGAATGTCTGTGGCTGGAATTCAGCC